GGCTGTGTCGACTGGTCTCAGAATCTGATACAATAGAATGAGCTCCATGATGAAGATGACATGCGAGGGTGGAAGAAGGGTTGATCCTGAGGGGAGAGGTCGTTTCGAGGCCCTCCAGAAGGCGGGGTCATAAAATTCCCAAAATCGGTCCAACGTGACGGTTGACTCTGATCGAGGCCTTTTTTCAAAGCAAGCGATTGAGTTACTTAAAGGCACGGGTCGGTGTTGGGTTGGTGGGTTATTTCATCCGGAAATTCGACAGAAGTCGACGAGGAATTTCATTGGGAAGAAAAGCAAAGAGCGCCATAGAAAACACCGAAATTCTTCTTTCAAGGTCCGCCGTGTTACCGCGGGGATACACAACGCTGCGAGGATAGGGGAAACGCGAGAGAGCATGTCGTACGCGAGAGCAGGGATGCGAAGTGGACCGCAAGAGGAGAAAAAAGAACAATTCAGCTGCAGAAACACAGGAAATCAAAAGCGCCTACCTTACTTTATGGAAGGTAACCTCCCCTTCAAAAAGCGAGAAAGTGTCGGGTGCAGACCAAACACCACAACTGACGACGGCCTCCAAGTAAATCTGGTTAGAAGTTGTTCATAGTGATAGCTGATTTCTGGTAAATGATAGTTGTAATTAGTGACAATCGATAGAATACAACTGTAAAATCATTTCATAAAAGCTAATCAGAATTAAAGCTAATCATTTCATTGGCAGAAAACATTAACATTTTGTGAAGGCCGTCGTCACTTGTGGTGCATGGTCTGCACCCGACACTTTCTCGCTTTTTGAAGGGGTATAAGAGGCATACAGCAAGATAAGAGACAATGTGAGTTGCGAATAGGAAATAAAAGGTGGTTCGAGGCAACGAAAGACGGAAGCGGTGAGCGGGCCCCGATCTTCTAAGCGCGGGTGATCTAAATTGTAAGGCCCAACGGTATAACGTTCTCTTTAGGGATATGAAGGGGACTCATCCACTACAGTGGTTGGCCTACCACCTTTATCCACAGGCTGCAACTGCTTCAGGCAGGCT